AAAAAGGCGTTATAACGCAAATAAAGGCGTAATTACGCCTTTCCAAAAGGCGTTATAACGCGAAAAAAGGCGTTATTACGCCTTTCTAAAAGGCGTTAAAACGCCTTTCCGAAAGGCGTTATGCCTTTCCAAAAGGCGTTATTACGCCTTTCCAAAAGGCGTTATTACGCCTTTCCAAAAGGACAAGCAAACAAAAAAACAAGACCCCCCCCCCCCCCGAAAAAAAATAAACTGCCTAAACTTGAGGGGAAACTTTTTCTAATTTTTCGGTAAAACTTTTTTTAAATGCAATGACTTGCCCGAGTTTAACCATACTGCAACAAAATGTTAAGGGACCAAGCAATCAATTAATGATTTTTTAATATTTAAACTATAGGAAGACTATTCTCCCAAAAAGTGGGGTGGGGGACCCCCCCCCCCCCCCCTCACATTCGTACTACCGGCCTGTTTGAAAAGGAGTTGTATCCAAAAATGGAAAGGCGTTATTTTAATATAGTAATTATATGAAAGATTGAACCAAAGCCATCTTTATTTATGCAATATTTAGATTATAGTTTTAATATTATAAATTATATTATAAATTATAGTATTTTCTATATTCCTGCACATCTCGCAGACAGTTGTTTGCATTTTGCATGCATATTAAGAGAAGTCAACACTCTACTTTTGAAAATCCAGGATATAGGCAGAACAAGATTTGGACTTTGCTAGCCACGTATTAAAAATTCATGTCAAATTTGAAATATTTTTCTCTCCTCTAGGTAAAAAACAGGCAAAGTATTTGCATAGGTATAATGAGCAATTAGCCTTCAACAAAATTTCTGAAATCCATACAACTTGGTAGAAGCGTCTGGCATCAGAGAAGGACTAAGTTGGTTTAACACTGAAAATGTTTTTTTTTTCCTAGAAATCTAATTATAATCAGTCCCCAGGGTGGGCTAAGTAAGTCATGTATTGAAAAAAAAGAGGCGTAATAACGCCTTTTTAAAAGGCGTAATAACGCCATTTTAAAAGGCGTAATAACGCCTTTTGGAAAGGCGTAATAACACCTTTTGGAAAGGCGTAATAACGCCTTTTAGAAAGGCGTAATAACGCCTTTTGGAAAGGCGTAATAACGCCTTTTGGAAAGGCGTTATAACGCCTTTTTAAAAGGCATAATAACGCCTTTTGGAAAGGCGTAATAACGCCTTTTTTCGCGTTATAACGCCTTTTGGAAAGGCGTAATAACGCCTTTATTTGCGTTATTACGCCTTTTTCCGCCTTATAACGCCTTTGTAAAAGGCGTTATTACGCCTTTTTTTCGCGTTATAACGCCTTTTCAAAAGGCGTTATAACGCCTTTTAAATTTTTTTTTTACCGTAGTTTGATCCTAATAGGCTTTCGTATCTATCTTCCCTTAAAAAAAATGAAAAAAAGATGATTGATACTATTTGATGTTCAAAACATTATGTCTGTCAACTAATTACAGACATTTTACAGTCAATTCAGAGAATAGTTTTCATCACTTAACACATATTTTTAAATACAATGTACATGTATATATATATTACACATTGCAAAAAATCATGTCTTGAAGTCTTGAAAATATGAAAAACTTACCGTAAATGATAACAAAATATCAAAACGATGAACTGATTTACAAACTAAGAATGGGTTATCGTGTGTTATAATTTTTAAAACAATCTTAAATAAAATACATATCAGATGTCAGGGGTGCAACACAATAATGTAACATAGGGTCACTTCAAAATCTAGTATTTTTTTGTAAGAAAACTTGTATGTCAAAATTCTCTTTTGGTTTAAATTTAAAGCACTGACATAAAAGGACAAAAAATGATTTAAGGGGGGGGGGGGGGTTATTATTTCATATTTCTAAGATTTATTAAATCTTTTCAAAGCAGAATTGAAAAAATAATGTACAATAACTATCAAAAAGCCATTTTTTTCACATATACAAGAGAAGAAACTCAATCAAGGTTTAGATACATGTATAATCAAGTTAATACAGCATTTTTGGAAAAGATGGACCCAGGAATATCTTACAGCTTTGAGAAAATTTCATCGAATATCAGGATCAAATAAATAATATATGGGGACCTTGTGTTAATCCAAGTGGAGATTCCAAATACATGTATTAGGTAAAAATTAGTGGTGAAAGGAAAGGGCAATTTTGTTCGATCTGCAAAGTTTAGAACAAATGTGGAAAAAATGACAAGAACAATTGTGAAACTTTATCCACTTGAAATTAATGAGAAACATATAAGAGTAGTAAGAGTCTGTGAAAATATGCCTACATGACAAGTCTGTGTGATTTACACATCAATAACTCACACAAAACTTAAAAAAAACATTCCTTTAATAACCGTATTCACCATTTTCACTCAATATTGTAAAAATACACACTGTGAAGTGATTACTAATTTTCATGTGGTTTACTTTTTGTGGTAAGAAGACATATGAATTCATATCTTCCACCAAATGTAAAATTGTAGCTATCTAAAAATGCTGTGAAAAATGTGCAGGATACATGTATATGTTAAAAAGACAAAAGGTTAACTGGACTTTTCCTATTAGTTTATATCTATTCTGGATCCCAAAACTAAGCTAAACAGCATATTTGGTGTAATTTTAAACATGTGTTAAAGATTACATTTTGTAATCAGCATTTTGGATACAAATAAAATAGAAAGTTGGAACATACTGGCCTTATAGCGGCCTACTGATATCTGAAAAAACAAGAGGCCCATGGGCCACAACGCTCACCTGAGTCAATATGGCCCTGCTGTTCTTTGTCAGCAGATTTCTTATTCTATATATTCATACGTAAAGCTTTGATCAACTGTTCTAGGCATAACCTATCCCCAGTTGCCATGTTTTGAATGAAATTGAATCTAAACTTTCTGAGGATGCTTCTATATTCATATTCAACTAATCATGGTTTTGCTGTTCTTGAAACGGAATTTTAAAGATGTCTGCCATCCTACCCTAGGGGGTAGGAAGGGAGGGGGGGTTCAAGATTTGAACAAACTTGAATCTACACTACCTTAGGATGCTTCCATATCAATATGACTAATTATGGCTTTGTTGTTCTTGAGAAGAAGATTTTTAAAGATATCTCTTATATATATTCTTTTGTTAAACTCTGATCCCCGATTATGGCCCCACCCTACTACTGGAGGATGCCTTGAACAAACTTGAACCTACAATACTTGGGGATGCTTCAATATCAAAATGACTAATCACGGCTTTCCTGTTCTTGAAAAGATTTTCCCTATTTATTCCTATGTAAAACTTTGATCCCCCATTGTGGACCCACCCTACCCCCGGGGGTCTTGATTTCGACAAATTTGAATCTACACTACCTAAGGATGATTTCATATGAATATGACTAATTGTGGCTTTGTTGTTCTTGAGAAGAAAATTTTTAAAGAATTTTCCTATATATTCCTATGTAAAACTTTGATCCCCCATTGTGGCTCCACCCTACCCCCGGGGGTCATGATTTGAACAAACTTGAATCTACATTACCTGAGGATGATTCCATATCAAAATGACTAATTGTGGCTTTGTTGTTCTTGAGAAGAAGATTTTTAAAGAATTTTCCTATATATTCCTATGTAAAACTTTGATCCCCTATTGTGGCCCCACCCTACCCCCGGGGGTCATGATTTGAACAAACTTAAATCTACACTACCTGAGGATGATTTCATATCAATATGACTAATTGTGGCTTTGTTGTTCTTGAGAAGAAGATTTTTAAAGAATTTTCCTATGTATTCTTATGTAAAACTTTGATCCCCCATTGTGGCCCCACCCTATCCCCGGGGGTCATGATTTGAACAAACTTAAATCTACACTACCTGAGGATGATTTCATATCAATATGACTAATTGTGGCTTTGTTGTTCTTGAGAAGAAGATTTTTAAAGAATTTTCCTATATATTCCTATGTAAAACTTTGATCCCCTATTGTGGCCCCACCCTACCCCCGGGGGTCATGATTTGAACAAACTTGAATCTACACTACCTGAGGATGATTTCATATCAATATGACTAATTGTGGCTTTGTTGTTCTTGAGAAGAAGATTTTTAAAGAATTTCCTATATATTCCTATGTAAAACTTTGATCCCCTATTGTGGCCCCACCCTACCCCCGGGGGTCATGATTTGGACAAACTTGAATCTACACTACCTGAGGATGATTTCATATCAATATGACTAATTGTGGCTTTGTTGTTCTTGAGAAGAAGATTTTTAAAGAATTATCATATATATTCTTATGTAAAACTTTGATCCCCCATTGTGGCCCCACCCGACCCCCGGGGGTCATGATTTGAACAAACTTAAATCTACACTACCTGAGGATGATTTCATATCAATATGACTAATTGTGGCTTTGTTGTTCTTGAGAAGAAGATTTTTAAAGAATTTTCCTATGTATTCCTATGTAAAACTTTGATCCCCCATAGTGGCCCCACCCTACCCCTGGGGGTCATGATTTGAACAAACTTGAATCTACACTATGTAATGAAGGTTTCCCATAAGTTTCAACTTTTCTGGCCCAATGGTTCTTGAGAAGAAGATTTTTAAAAGAAGACACCAAATTTTCACTTATTCTTAATTATCTCCCCTTGGAAGAGGGCATGGCCCTTCATTTGAACAAACTTGAACCCCCTTCACCCAAGGATGCTTTGTGGCAAGTTTGGTTGAAAATGGCCCAGTGGTTCTGGAGAAGAAGTCGAAAATGTGAAAAGTTTACAGACGGACGGACGGACGGACAGACGGACTACGGACAAAATGTGATCAGAAAAGCTCACTTGAGCTTTCAGCTCAGGTGAGCTAAAAACTCTGGGGCTCCATTATATAGCAATTAAAACAATTTAATTATTCTAATTAGCTTCATTATATATGTTTCAAGAGAAATATATATAATTGCCTGTGTCATTAACTGTGATGCATTATGTGTAAAATTCAACTAAGTGTTTTCTGACAAAAAACAAATTGATTTTTTTTTATTTATTCAATAAAACTGTAAAATAACACAATATATACTGGGAAATCTAAAAGCCATATCGATACATATTCAGCTAGAAATCAGAATTTACTCTTATCACAAGAGTACATGTGTCTATACATCTTTCATCTCATGAAATGATCATACAACCAGCAAAATATTGAATTTCCTGACTATATAACATCTCAAGATGCCAGAGCATTTAACGTTTTGTATATACATGTGTATATTGCATATTGTACTCAAATAATGAAGTTAACTCACAATACCCTTTCATGAAATACATGTATTTGGTGTGCCTTGAAGTCAACATCCTAGCCTTTTAGGCAATGTACTCTGGCTTTCCTCCTACATTACATGTAGATTATCATTACAGTGCATTTCATATATGCATTGTCAGATTAATTTCATGATTCATGACTATTAAATAATTCTATTCCTTTTCATGCCAATTCTGGAACTCTTATTCAACTTATATTATGCATAATTGTTTTCATCAATACTGTATTTTGGTAGTTTCTACATATATGTATAAATATAGCACTTGTTATTTAACTTTCTGTTCCTATTTATTTCTTTGAAAAAGAAATTTCTCTTGAAAATAATAAAAAAAAATATATACACAACTTTTGATGCATGTACATAACAGAAAATTCATAAACCAAGCATCTCAAAAGCACAAATTTGATTTTTATAAATTAATTTCTGAATACAGAGCTATCATAAGTCAAATTTTTCTCTTTATTTTTGCTTATAAAATGTTTGTTCATAAATGTAATATAACTACTTGTAAATGTACTCACATGCACATTAAGCTAAATGTTTTCATGAAACATCATAAAATATGATATTGATATATTTTTTTTAATCCAAAAACATCACAGTTTAATTCAAAAGCAAGAAAAATGATGTCAAAGATATATCAAATATATTAAATCTTCTAAATAGATCAATGGAAAAAGATTGATTCTGAATTGAAGATTATCACAACACAGAAGACGGAGTGGAGATTATTCCAGAGGTATTCTTGTCATGTTCAAAAGTACAATGTACTTTCCCTCAATCTATGAAATGTGCATAGTGATTGTTCGCTGTTCCAGTATGATGTCCTTGTAATTTTATCTAATACTGTTCTGAATGGCGAAATGCAATATAATGCCCTCAAAAAGTTTTAAAAATCTCACAACTGACATTTGCATAATCTTTCAAATAATACTATGAAATTACACAAGTATTAAGAAATGTCCTTTAAATTTTCTTGCTATAAAATATGCAAATGTTAATAGAAAAGGCACCTGTTAATACTACATGTTCATAAAATTTCATATTCAACCCCAACAATTGCAGTGTGAGTATAAATAAAGCAATAGGTTAAGGAAGTGAAGACAGTTGGTGGAACACTGTTCTTCAAGCACTAATAAATGGCAGCACAAGATTTCCTTGGAATATCAGTTTGTTGTTTTGTATATGCAGTCTGTGTAATCACCACTTCTCATTCAAACTCCACAATAACATCACCTTCATCCACTGTTTGTCCTTGTTGATAATTGACTTTCTTGACCTAAAAATTAATTACCAACAACTTTTTAAAATTTTCATCCTCCTTATATAAACTGATTTTACAGTCATTCATTATTAAAAAACTTTTTGAAAGAAAATATTTATAGATTATAGATATATGGAAATTCTAGTTTTAATTCATTGCATGGAAAATGACTCACTTTGGCTACCCTAGCTGAGATACTCACTTTCAATACCTGAGCTGATACTCACTTAACCTACATGTACACAAGGTGATACTCACTTTAGCTTCCAAAGCTGATACTCACTTTAGCTGATACTCGCTTTGGCTACCTGAGCTGATACTCACTTAAGCTACATGTACACAAGGTGATACTCACTTTAGCTTCCCAAGCGGATACTTACTTTAGCTAACCAAGCTGATACTCACTATAGCTACCAGAGCTGATACTTCATTTAGATACCTGAGCTGATACTCACTTTAGCTACCTGAGCTGATATTCACTTTAGCTACCCCATCTGATACCAAAGTTGAAACTCCCTTAAGCAACCAGAGCTGATACTCACTTCACCTACCTGCAGTGATACTTCATTTAGCAACCCGAGCTGATACTCACTTTAGCTACCTGAGCTAATACTCACTTTAGCTACTTGAGCTGATACTCACTTTAGCTACCTGAGCTAATACTCACTTTAGCTACCTGAGCTGATACTCACTTTAGCTACCTGAGCTAATACTTACTTTAACTAGCTGAGCTAATACTCACTTTAGCTAGCTAAGCTAATACTCACTTTAGCTACCCGAGCTGATGTCAGACTGTTCTGCATCTTCATGGCTTCCAGAATACAAACCTCCTGACCCTCAGCCACCTGCAACAAAATATCTAAATCTTGTAAACTCTATTTTTTAAAGAATATACATGTATTTACAAACTGCATTTAGTGTAGGTGGAAAGGTACCAAATGTATTTTTTTCAATCTCTCTCAACCTTCCCCCCCCCCCCCCCCAAAAAAAATAAAAAATTGGCAGTGTCAACCCAATTAAGTCATTGAAGCATAGAATTATTGAATGAAAACTCTCCTAATAATTTTTTATCTATCTTTCCTCTGCAATCAAATTCAAAGATACAATTTTTTACATTATTCAGTAAACATTTTTCAAGTTGAGAATCTAACGTACCATATCCCCTGGCTTAACAGCTACAGATTTTAGGACCCCTGGCATGGGGGCGAGGATTAATGAGGACATGTCTACTTCCTGTTTGACAGGCATCAGTTTAGACATCTGACTAGCAAACTCCTCCAGGACCTTCAGCTGGTACTGTAACACAAATATCAACATCTTAGCAATACACGCAGTCTTTCTGCTTTTAAGAATTTGCTTTGTTCTGAATTTTAACTACAATGATACTTCTTTTTTTTTTTAATAACTCAGTGAGTTTTAACTTCTGCATTTTTATTTTGGTAGCTCTTGTGGTGTGACAAAATTATTAAATTTACACTGTTGCAAAAATAACTACAATTACATAGTACATGTATGTATTTTAAATAAAGATGTGATATACAAAACAAAATTTCATATGATGCAAGAATAGATTTTGTTCAGGAAATGCATAAAAAGCCAAAACAGAAATAGCATTTTTTTTTTTACAGTTTTTCTTTAGTAGTTCCTTTTTTCTATACATACCACTGTTCCAAAAAATCTAAGTCTGTAGAGTCCTGCTCCAATTCTCTTTGACAACTGCAATTAAAATTTCGAACAGGAGACCTTAAGTACAAATAAAATAAAAATGAAAATTGAATATTTATTCTTCTATCACTCTCTGGAATTTTATTTGCCTCATAACATTCTGATAATTTAATTAAGTAGCCTCTGTAATCTAAAATTCCTCACCTGGAAAAGTTTCCTTTCTCCGTTGATAGCCATATTAATGAGGGGTGATGAGACATCAATATCAAATGGAATAGTCATTGTTTTATCTTGGGACACAACCTTAATTACATAAATACAAAGTTTAGTAAAACACAGTCATACATGTAGTTTTACAATGAATTCACACTTATAGCAAAGTTCCCTGTAGTTTTAAAAACACACTATGAACATACCAGATACAATGAATTAAGTTATAACAAATCGAAATTGTTTGTCCCTAGCAGTTCGCTTTAGGCATGTATTACTGCATTTACCACAAAAACACTGCCACAAAATCATTTTTCAATTAAAACTGGCCAAATCAAGTTAGCTTTACAAAAGCCAACTTTTGACAAATGAATACATCCTTCTCTGACAAAAGTATCCCTAAACATAATTATAATTATCATCAAAATACTCACAGTGACTTCATTTCCTGCCAGACTAACTTGTAATGGATAACTCTCCTCATTCAATAAAACATTCAGAGACCAGCTACTGGGGGTAGTTTTGGCAAGAGGGATTCTGGAAATGTGACATGACAAGGATTTTACATAAACGTGTAGCTTGGAGGTCAAATGCCATAGCAGGAATCAAAATTATCAGAATCATCAACCTTGATCAGCCACTTAAAGAACTGCAAGTACATATACTGTGTGAAAGATAGTCTAGCAACATGCATTGCAATGATTGATAATTTTCCTCCAAATCTTATGTGGTAAGCTTATGATTCAACAAAATGCTCTTTTAAAAAATATTTTTGTCTAACTTGAGAGTTTATGATTGAGGCTTATGGATCAGGAAGAACAGTGAATGCAAAGATGAGAGTATAGTAACTTATCCGGGTGCAAATCCAGGAATTTTTTCCGGGGGGGGGGGGGGGGGGGGGGGGGGGAGGTCATCCTCAGTCAAAAAATTTCCAACCCAGAAATTTCATGACAAGCAAAAAAAAAAAAAAAAAACCCATTTCCCAAACATAAAAAAAAAAACATTTTGTGGTGGTGGTGGTCCAAAGTCATTTTTTATTTGCTTCAGTAAATACTTTTAACTTTCAAATAACTCTGCAAATTCCAAGGGGGGAGGGGGGGGGGATCCAGACCCCCGAACCCCATACATGTGATAAGTCAAAGACCACAAAACTGTACAGGAGCCATAAAAAACTGGAATTTGGGTGAAAAAACTGTACACTGCTTATCAAAAAACGGTACAAAAAATGGTATAAAATATCGCTTAAATTCTTCTGATAAGGCACCTTATTTCTAAACCAACAAATATATATTGTTGCAAATGTCTTATTTTAAAAGTTGTAATGGAGATTTGAATGCTTTAAAATTTCATTATTGTGTTTTATAATCACAATGTTCTTATGAATCAACTATAAATTAAGCTAGTTTAGATGATAGTTTGTTTGCCAGCTTTATGTAGTATTAACGTGAGAGTCAAGGTCTCCAATTTACATCTTGTTCATATAACTGATATATACATCAGCAATGCTAAATAACAGCAGCAAATACAATCATACATAAATTTCAGCACATAAAAACTTAAAACTATATCCTTTATTTCAGTGTAATCATGGTAATAAACATCGTATATTTTATACCTATGAAGATCTGGGTCAGATTCATGTATATTAAGTCATGTATATCAACTTTAGAAGTTGGCTTATTTTTTTTTTTTCAATCAAGTTACGAAACATTAACAGTTGTAATTAAGTACCCCTTTAAAAATAAAGCTACCTAAAGGGGTATCTTGATACGGATTTATAGCAAGATAATTATCCCAACTGGCAGTTCACACCTTCACACGCGATGGTTTGTGTACACTACACAATTATCAGAAGGTCAAGTGTCAAACACAGGTGACATTTTCCAGTGTCTCGCAAGCGAGAATGAGAGGAAAATGGTGGCATTTAGCGAGAAATTCAAAATACTGTACAAATTTTCATATTCCGTGAATTTCGGTGTCCCGCCGGTACACCATGAATGGCCTCAAAAAACAGTACATTTTGCGTACCGCTGGTACATATCACATGTATGCCCCCGAACCCCCTCCTCTAGATCCGCACATTTTATCTTGAATCAGTACCTGTTCTGATTTTTAAAACTCCTTGAAACAAGTTTATCTTTGATGTACATTACTGCTGCCATAGCAACCAGTTCAATGCTCTCAGTTGGAGACAAAGTTCTACCTGCACAGAAAAAAATAAAACGCATTTAATTTTTTTTTTCAAATATTGTATGTTAGATTTACCACATACTTTTTCAAGTACATGTACATTTCAGTGGTATGTCCTTGTTCCAAGTATCATTTTAACACACTTTCTTGAACATAATAAAGCTTTTGACCACTGATACACAAAATAAATGTATAGTATATCTGGAAGATATAAATGGGAGACCTCATGTTGTAAAGTCCTTGATGTCTAAAAAGTAATTCGATGTTTGCTCACCTTTAAAGCCATCTGGATACACAGTAGGCAGGTAGCTAGTGCTGATATCACCAGCCACAAACCTCTTCTCTGTTACTATGTCTCTCAACAGAGGAATATTGTGAGTCACACCTACAAAAATACAAAAAGCAAGAAAATCAGTCATGTAGGAAAAGATGCAAGAATAGAATGTGGAGTTTAAAATGAAGCACAATTCATTAACAACCTCTACCAGGTGGTTGAGATTAAACTGCAAATCTGTATTTAATACATGTAATGGGATAAGAACACCCTTGACCCTATGCTTCCCTTCTCTTTGACTGAAGAAACACAAGAAAAAGTAATGGCACAGACAACATTTAGTATTCTATAACATTTTAAAATGACATATCCTTATAGCCAGTCATAATAGCCAATGGCTCAATGCTTGTAAGGTTTTATATGCATCTACATATTTTGTAATCTTAGTGTTGGGGAATTTTCACTACATATACCATTAGTTTCAAAAACCTTTGTCACACAAATACGTACATCTACCATGAAAATTCATTCTCTAGTTTGAACCCTGTATATTCAGAGCTGTAACTCAGTTATCCAAAATATTTTGGAAGGTTATCCATTAAAATTTTTTTCAGAAAGTGAGCTACAGATATTGTTAGTCTTATTTGAATTCACAACACCAGTCTAAAGTAACTTGGTCATCTATGACAAAGCACATCAAATGTCTTGGCAAAAAACACAACGTTTGGCAATATATATATAGCATGCTATATCTGTCAACCACTTGATATGCAATTCATTTTAAGGGAATGTTTAGATAATGTAGACTATACCCTTGATGACATATGAGTCCAAGGCCTTGACCATTACATCCAGGGCTTCCTGTCTGTTGCTTCCATACGTCACAAGCTGCAGATTTAATTTAGAATTCATGAATTTCACACAGTTAACTTTTTCTCTGAAAATCTCAGCCATTTAAGTTAAATGAAATATCCTTCAAGATCAAAAATCATTAATCTTGTTCTATAATCAGAACTTTTACCTTGCAAATCATTGGGTCATAGTAAACACTGATTTCGCTGCCCTCCTTAATACCACTATCACATCGAACCTATAGCAAGGAAAGCAGTTTAAAACAGTAAACAAAAATTCAAGTGGTAATATCATTTTTAATATTCAAGTCTGGTTATCATGCATTGAAAATCAACTCATTCATTTCCATGTAAACCTACACACTTTATGGGCAGTCTCATTATCTTCAACATAAAACTTTTTGCATTATTGTTTATCAATCAACTTGTATTTATCCTTTCAATTACATGTACATGTACCGTATTTGGCCGAATATAATACGCATTGGTGTAAAATACGCACCCCCCTTTTTGAGCCTGAATCTGGGGGAAAAAACGCAGTTCGGTTGTATTATACGCAGCAGAAAATTTTACCAAGCGGTGTTCCGAACTTTTGAAAATCGCGGTAATTTGCTATGAAAATCGGCGCGGAGATTAAGTGCCGAAAATTTACCGAACACGATATTTTATTCAAATGCGTTTTTATTTCTTAATCTTGACTTTCCATATCGCGGCAATCTGGAGGAAATTATTTATTTTAACAAAGCACGAGATAATGTTGCATTAAAGTATTAAAAGAGTTAATTATTAATTTTTTTTTTTTTTTAGCATACGGTGATATTGAAATTATACATCGCCGTATTCTAACTATTCTTTGTGGATATAATTTTATTTTGACAAAGCATGAGATATTGTTGCAAGTTTAACAGTTGTCTTATATATTTTTAGTTTAAGGTAATCATGTTGAAAATTATGTAAATTTAACAGGGCAAGCGATATTGCAACATCAAAGTATTCATAGACTACGATTTTCTTCTTTTGAACTTGAAAATTAATTAATGAAATAAATAGCTGATGTTATAAAAAATCCAAATTTAACAAGCGTGTAAAGTGTAGTTATCAACACACCTCCAAAGCTGTGAAAAATGATGTACAAAAGTGGGATATATGTCTTCATACATCGAGGTAATCTTCGTGGATATCTTATTTTCTACAGAGCACGAGTAAATGATAACACTTAAGTTTCAACATACTTCATATTTCCTTTTTTAACTCTCAATCATTTTAACACGAGGCCGATATAAGATAAAGTAAAATTACATTTAACAAGCGTTTAACTGTTTAATGTGTTGTAATCAACACAGGCTTATATATACGAAAGATCATAAACCAACCCCCGATTTTTAACAAAGAAAATAATCAAAGCCATTAATAAGGGCAGTAAATAATCAGTGCTCTAACTGTAAAAACAATGCTTTGGAGTCGGTAAACAATTTAATTGCCTGGAGGGGTGTTGAGGGGTAATTATCAAGTGACAAGTGCACGTGTTCATACATGTAACATTGGCTTCCATTCATTGGGACGTATAGAGGGGTGTTTATGTTAAAATGAATTTTCACTGAGTTATTTAAAACCTAAAATAAATTTTATTTTATTGTATTTCATTAAAAAAATGACTTATTACTTTTTTGACTGAGTGTCTGACTGATTAGGTACATGTGTACTATGATTACGGAAGCACGTGGCAAAGGAATGTGTGAATATCTATAAATAACATCGTTAATGGCGGCCTACACGGAGACGATGAACATGCAGCTCAAATTAATTTTAACTTGCTTTTAAATTTAATTTAACTATCAAAAGGTTATAAATATAACATTTTTAACAAGCCTACATACCAACAATAACTTTCCGAAGTTTTAAATACAGCGATAAACAGCAAGAAATTGCACAAGTCTCAAGGTAATACTACGGTATGTGCGTATGATAGCCGTGTTTCACATGAGAGAAAAACCTATCAAAATCCCATTGTGGTGTAAAATACGCACCCCTTTCTCACAGAAAATAATTTTGGGAAAAAAGTGCGTATTATATTCAGCCAAATACGGTATGTAAAACAGATAAATTTAAATTTGATTGTACAACAAAGCACATATACTACTCTCTATTTCTTTAAAAGGTATAATACCAAATTACCAACCTGATCAATATGAGAAGGTTCAATGTATTTATCCAGTCTACCAATGGAGGGCATACCAAAACTTTTGTAGGGATCCTAGATAAGAATAAGATATCAGTATTTAAGTGCTTCTAACATTTCCAATATCAATTCAATAGAACAATCTTTATGAATTTCTCTCTTCATACCTACAAAGGTGTTGTGATATTTTCTATAGAATACAACCAATGAGATCTTTTAATGATTAATAACCATGTAGTGGTGGATGGACACTGTAAACATACTTATTTTAAGATATTCTAGCACCTTCCACATTGCTTCTTGTCTGCTAATTCATCTACATGCTAATATGATTTAAACATAATGAATACATATAGAAACTTTGCTCCAAATATGCCAATTTAAGATTATGCAGATCAGCTGATGAGGAAGATTAGCATTTATAATTTTTAGTGTGCTATTTTATGTATGTTTACAGTATGTTCTAAAACATTTATTTCATGGATTTTCATAAAAATCATAGGGTCTAAAGATTTTATCAAGTAAGCTGGAATAGAATTAAGAATAAGCTCTTTAAATATTACTTTTTAATATGAACACAAAAGTTATTTGTATTAAACCAGAGGTACCTCTGCATACACTCTACACTCGAACGCCCAGCCATCTATAGGAATATCAGACTGGGAATAGAGCAGCTTATGACCTGAAATACAAAGAATTCTTCAAATTTATATCTGCAACAGCATACACATTTATCATGAAATGAGATGATCAACCTCTGTCCTCGATATCATGGCAAAATCGTTATACCAGTATACATGTGTGCATTTATAGCTTTAAGTGGATGAATGGGATATCTCCTTCATTCAACTTTCACAAAAAGCTAATGATTTAAGACTAAACACACAGTCAAATTTTGTTATTCCAAACATACAAGACTGTCAAAACCTTTAAAATAATCAAGACAGATATTGAGGTAGAAACTTCGACAATAATGAGGTTCTAAGGACTGCCACCTCATATTGACATACACCTGATTTTTTAACCTGTTCAAGATAGGGAAGTTGAACTGTACGCTTGGGAAACAAAATGCACACCTACAAGCTAAAAAATGAATACTCTGATACTACATCAATTTATGTTATACAAACCTTTGGCGGAGCGAATCATTTGGTGAACGATATCAATCCCCGTGATACACTCTGTTATAGGATGTTCCACTTGAAGACGTGTGTTCATTTCCAGGAAATAAAAATTCTTCTGTGAATCCACAAGAAACTCCACAGTACCTTTAATATACAGTATTCATACTTTTATAAAATTTAAAACTCAATTTTTAATTTTTAGGGAAGGAATGACATTTTAATGTGAACTTATTTCAAGAATTTTTTATTAGAGAACAGTCTTATTTTTTGTTTTATCTTGCAATTTAACTGCTTGAATTCATTGATGTTTTCTCTCAACAAAGGAATTAAAAAAGTTTCAGTATCTAGCACATATACAGTGTACTTGTTTATCCAGAAAATCTAGTATAGAAATCCAGATCTCTTAACTGTAGATTTAACTTTAAAAAATTATTTTCTGTGTTATGTACTGGAGGTACATTGTATGAGCTGACAACTACATGCAGTAACACTAACATACCAGCTGAGGAATACTTGACTTGCTTGGCAAGGGCTGTGGCCTGCTCCCCCATTCTCCTTCTCATGTCAGGGTCTACAAAGGTGCTGCAGAAGAAATTTGTTTAGATGGATAGATAATCACCAAAAGATTCATCCAGAAACAAGGGAATAAAAACCACAAATTTGTAGATTCTGATAATTCTAAATGGTGGCATACTTCAAGAAATACATGTATAACATGTATTTTAACATATTGCTGAATTTACAAAAATAATGGATACAATGCTACAAAGTTTTATCACTCTTAGATATTTAAATTTCTGGCTATCTTTATGAAAGCCAAGTTGAAAATATGTAAACTGCATTTTTTTTTTTTTAACATGTTATCGTGTAGGTTTAATATATGAAGTTACCCACCTTGGAGCCTCTTCAATCACCTTCTGGTTTCTTCTCTGAATTGAGCATTCTCTTTCATTTAACCAAAGTGCATTTCCATGCTTATCACACAGAACCTAAAACAAAAATGTTTGAGTATCTATATATATAATTAAGATTTTAAGTAATACGGTACTAATATTAATGGTTTTAGCTCAAAATCATATTATTTCCAACATTTAATGTAAAGGTACATTGTATGTAAAATTGTTAACATATTTTTTGAAATCCCATACATTCTCCAATAAGTAATTACTGAAAAATCATGTATTTTCGTGTAGTCCAATTTTTGTGGTTTGAGGAAAATATATTGGTGTGTGGGGATTTGATTTTATGGTTGAAAAAGAAACATGATACTGTGGTATGAAATTTTAACATTTCTTCGGGGACACTAATTCATGGGTTTTCACATTCCATACAAACATCGAAAATTAAAGCCCCAAGAAAATTAGTAATCTCAAAGTACACTAGAATGCAAGACCAGCAGACATTTAATACATTCTGTGATTTCATCTTTTTTCTTTGAACTCCATTTTTTGTTGTTTTCAATTTTGAACCAGACTACAAAATTTTTCATGGTTGAGCCAGACCATGAGATAAGATGATCAGATAACTACAAATTATACTAATAGAAAGGAACTATGTAGCGCTCCCCATGAATTTACATTTCAATGAAATTATTTTTTTTGGGGGGGGGGGGGTCGAAAACCTTTTAATTTGATCCAACACAAAAACTACTGAAACCACAGTATTAAACTTTTTAAACCATTTTTAAATGGATTATTAAAGTACTATCTTGTGCCATACCTGCATTTCAATATGTCTTGGATTGTCAATGTACTTTTCAATCAACATCCTGTCATCTCCAAAGCTAGAGGCTGCCTCTTGTTTGGACAAGCGATAGGCATTTCTGTCGATCATTTTGTAAATAGTTCTTGTTTAACATCAAAATTCAAAAGTTCATACACTATGAGATTAAAGAGAACTATGAATAAATAATATTCTGTAAATCTTCCCTTGAATTTTATTTTAATCTCTTCTAGCTAAAAATTCAAATTACTGAAGCAGGTGTGTTTATGTGAAAGGTATACTTTCTACATGTACAAGTATATGTATCTTAATTTATACATAAAGACATCTCTTCTAGTCAATTTATTTCACTGCTGTATTTTTAATCAAGCACTTTAAAAACTTCAGTCACCCACTAACACTGAAAAAAATATTCAATTTTTCATGCATGTGTCATAGTGTGTTATTTTGTGTAAAGATATTTTTGTAACTATTTAGAATTTGACTTTAAAGTTTAATTGATATTTAGGATTTGACTTTGAAAATTAATTAATTATACTCATATGGGTGGTGCCCCGTACCTCGGTGACACACGTATAACTAAATTATTAAATGCATAAATCCTTGCATAAAATTCATGTACTACTGTATTTTAAATCTTTGATCTAAAAGAAGTGAATAGAGACCTTGCTTCTTTGTCATTCCAAGCTATCCTCATTCCCTTTCCACCACCACCAGCTGAGGCTTTAATCATTACAGGGTACCCTACAACACAGACACTGGGTTAGTCCTCTTTTTACTTTTAAGATTACTCAAATTGTTGAAGTTATTTTTCAAAGTTCATTTCTTTGTAATATTTTTCTGAGGTTTCCATCTATGTATGTCAAGATATTCCCATTGTCAATTAAATAAAGCACTGGTTAGTAGTTGGAGGTACAGTGTTGTAGCTCTACTTAGTTCATTGAATACTATTTTCCTTTTTTCACAACTCTATATGAAAGCGGGAGTTCTAAGGAACATGTGTCTCTTGCAAGGATAATGAAGTTTTGACCACTTTTTGTGCGAAAAGTCAGAGTTCAAGAATAAGTGATCGTGCCCTTGGATTATTAACTTCCCTGAACTTTTATAAAGTGTCAGAGAGGTGTAAGTAGAGTGACCATTTGTTTAAAAGTCTGACAACACTCAGACAAGGAAGGCAGACTAAATGATCAGCATATGCCTATCATGCTCTACATGAGACATAAAGTATCTTAATCAACTGCATAACACAAGTACAAACCAATTTCATTGGCCAGCTTGACACAATGATCTCCATCTTCCACCACTCCATCATGGCCGGGGATCATGTTGACCTTGGCTTTGCTGGCAATTCTTTTACTTTCAATCTTGTCTCCCATGGCTTTAATAGAGGGACTGCTGGGACCAATGAATTCTACTCCTATCTCTGCCTATAGACACATTAACAAATGAAAATTAAAAAAAAAATTATATGTGTTTATTTCCTTTTCATAATATTTTCTGAGATTACAAACTTTAATGCCGAATAAGCATTTCAGGCATTAATGGAAAAGGAATTTATAAGATTTACCAATTTTGCTGCAAACACTGTATTTTCTGAGAGGAATCCATATCCAGGATGCACCTGAAAAAAAAATTAAAAAGTTTAGACTTTAATTTGGAGAAGGGGGTGAATGATAGAGTACTCTGTGGTAAGGGTGAGTGAGCAATGATTTCCTGTAGAAGTTTTTAAAAAAAAGGCTACTTACAGCTTGAGCCCCTGTATCCTTGACGGCACGAAGAATGGCATCCATGTTGAGATAACTCTGACTGGTGGGAGGCGGGCCCACACAAATGGCCTCATCAGCCAATCGTGTGTGAAGCTAGAATGGAATGCAAATGACATTGTCTGTAATTGACTCATGGCAATAAATGTGACATCTCACTTCTTAAGTACAAACAAAATCCATAAACCGTAGATCATTAAATTTTCGCGACACCTTATTTTCATGAGATTTTTGTTAAATTGGTATTTATAAGCAAAACAAAATATTCATGAATGATCGTTTTTGCATTATATAATCTTTATAAGAAGAATTATATGCGAGAATGAATTTTTCCTGAGCAGACAGTCTTATGTATTTATGCGAAAATAAAGTTCTCGTGAATAAAAAGTGAATTACAGTATATACCTGAAAATCTACTTCTGTTTTGATTGAAGAATTAATTCGTTTAATTCATGTAGATAATTTCTCTGAGAATTTCATTCTGAGCAAGATATTTTGATTCATTTTAAACACTATACATGAATTAAAATGACAGTCATTATTCATTTTTTTTTTCACTATAAACAACCACCTATGGTTAAAAATTGAAGTTTTATAAAAATTAAAGCATCATTTACATGTTAAAACTTACTGACAATGAATCAGCCTCACTATGAACTGCTACCGTTTTGATTCCTAGCCTCTTACATGTATGAATCACACGACAGGCTATTTCTCCGCGGTTAGCGATGAGTATTTTCTCAAAAACCTTCAAATATCAAGAGATACCAGTAGATAAAATTTAATGAAATTCTTTCGAAAAGTGATATATTGAAAAAAAGTGTATTTTTACAAAAGCAGAAACTTCATATAGATATATATAATTTTCATATATATGAGATTTTCAAAATATATCAACTTGATTCTATTCCTCGTATCTTCAACTTTCCATTTTATTTCATTGTTATAGAATACCAGTACTTATAAATAACAATGTAATATGATTTTTCAGATTAGAAATGATTGGTGAAGTATGTTAATGCACTGTTATACAAAAGCTCATTTGACAGATCATAGTAAGCAGGCAGGCAGTTTTAACTCAAAGACCAATAGCTTTTGCCATTAATATATATCAAAATTTGACTCCATGACAGAAGGTATGAGAAATACCATACAAAGGTACTTGTTCAATCTGCTTAACAGCTATGCACTCTTCTGTCACAAACCTGAAATGCTAATGCAGTTGAATTTTGGTGTCTCGAACACTGATATTTCAGATACCATGGATACACATCTGAAGTGATTTGGAGGTCTCAACCAATTATTCTTTAAGTATTTTATCCTAGATATTTCAAATCCTCAGATATCTTTCAGTTTTTTTTCCTGTTCCCATCAAGTTCAAGATAACGAGATTCGACTATATACTTGCTTAACCTCTCCATGCCCCAATGGAAGCATGGGGCCACTGAAATGCTAATACTTACTTAACCTCTCAATGCCCCAATGAAAGCATGGGGCCACTGAAAAGCTAATACTTACTTAACCTCTCCATGCCCCAAGGGCATGGGGCCACTGAAATGCTAATACTTGCTTATTTAACTTCTCCATGCCCCAAGGGAAGAAATGCTAATACTTACATGTACTTAACCTCCCCATGCCCCAAGGGAAGCATGACGCCATGAAATGCTTTACTTACTTAACCTCTCCATGCCCCAAGAGAAGCAAGAGACCATGAAATGCTAATACTTAATTAACCTCTCCATGCCCCAAGGGAAGCATGGGGCCACTGAAATGCTAATACTTACACGTACTTAACCTCCCTATGCCCCAAGGGAAGCATGAGGCCATGAAATGCTAATACTTAACCACTCCATGCCCCCTGTTAAGCATAAGGTCACTGAAATGCTAATAACTACTTACAGTCTTGCATCTCATCATGAAATATTGCAGCATTCATCCCAGTTCTTACCTCTTCTCCTTCATTATACTTGTCATTCCAGTAGAGGTTTTTCTGCTTCGGTGCAGTGGTATAAATACTTCTCTTACATTCTGCAGGCTTCAATAAAAATTAAAATCATAATACTGAATTTGGAGTACCTAGCAATGACAATATAGTATCTGCATTACAAATATAAAGATGAATAAGCTATAACCATAGAGTTTAAGGTTTTAATTTTGCTCTTAAACTTTTTTCTAAAATATTGCTTTGGCACATCTTGTCCAATTAACAGCCTCTGATGAATTAAGTAAAGAGCTGTGAACTGTTCAGCAATGTGTATATACCTTGTACAATTGTCAACCCTCCTTCAGCAGATTCAGACTGTATTCAACAATGTGTATATATACCTTGTAATGTATACATATTGTTGAACACAGCCAATCATGAGACTGCAGGGATTTATCTAGATATTTTGTTTTAACTACCCTTTTCACATAAAGGAGGAAAAATCTCGACTTGCTGATATATTAACGGGGTAGAAGAATAAAGTTGAAAATAAAAATATGACGATATTTAGTCATATTGACAAAAATGATGAAAAAACATAGTTACATGTACCATGATAAGTAAACATGATGATTATCCATCATTTTTCAGAATGACTGATTTCAGTCTTACCCCTAACTTTATCCGATTGGGAACAATTGCCCAAATGGGATATAAATTTACAGTGCCAAAAAATGAAAATTTTTATTTTGGCTATAAATATCATAAATCCGCATCAAAATTCTTTAAAAGGAATAACTTTTGGCAAGCAAGTTTTTCTGCAACCCTAGGGGTTGTTAGATTGATCCCCAAGAAGTTTACGAACTTCCGAGGAATCAATCCCAAAGTTATTCCTTTATAAGTATCTTGATGCGGATTTATGACATTTATAGCCAAGATAAAAATTTTCATTTTTTGCATTGTAAATTTATATCCCATTTGGGATATTATATTCCAAACGGGCTATTATATCCCATTTGGGTGATTGGTCCCAACCTGTTTATGTTAAACATGAAGATAATATAATTTTAAAGTCATTTAAATATCACAATTTATTGCACCACTTTTGACTTAAAAATTTGAACAATTATATTAAAGATTTTAATTTAAAAAAAGGAAGTTGTCTTACACTGGACATATTTGGAATATTTTAGCCTGATAAGTTTTACATCATTATCTAACTTGTGTGTGTTTTTTACTTTGTTTCCAAATCATGCTTCTTCCGTTTCTTTCCTTATGTATTTATCATACAGTGTATGTGTAAGAGAGAACAGAGCAGATAAGATGCTCCTGTGCTACAGGGTCAAGGCAGATTTTCCTAGATAGAATGTTCTATCGTTAAAATGATAAATGTCCTACGGACCCGTTTGATGAGGGCCTGTCCCGAGAGACACAGTTAGATTATTCTAACTAAGATTTTCCATGTTTTCAGTCTGCTTTTATTTTTTTTTCCCTAGTATTTAACAAACAATTATGTCTGCAAAATTTCGCTAAGCATAATATTATGAGTAACATAAAAGAAATAGAATGCACAATAGGTCCTAATGAGCAAAACAATTCATGCGGTCGGATTGTGAACTTTCTACACAAGTTGAAGGACGTTGGCATAGTTCAATTTTAGGACACTTTGCATAAACAAAGCACGCAAAATAAAAATGCATGATCAGAAATGAAAATGATTAATCAGAAAATTCTGAAATATACACCTGACATGTTGATCTCACAGCCTGTACACCGCAAAGTCGGAACGATCTCCGAAGTCTTAAAACTGTCGTCGCCATGTTTAGTTTGCGGCTAGTTCACTTTAAAATCTAATCATCGGACAAAAACGGATAGATCTCTATACATGACGTTACCAATCCGATCAACGACCCTAAGTATAAAAGAAGATTAAGTTTTCTGTTCGATTTAGGAGAGACAAAAGAACTAACTTTATGCAAAATATTGGGATGAACTCAATAAAAATGTAATTAGGCCTAACGCTATAACTCAGTGATATTCCCCTTGGAGTGATTCGATATAACGAAGATTGATAACGTCATGTATAGAGATCTATCCGTTAGGTAGGATATTCCTCTAAAATTCAAACCAGAACTCGAAACAAAATTCTAGGGTACTGTCCTCAAGACCTTATAAAACTTTCTACAATGTTTGATTGTTCTATGTATCTAGAAATAATAACCTTTAAGGTCAAAAAGAATAATTAAGTTTAATTGGTAGCGGTTAGAATACCTGAACAAATACACGGATAAAAGGAAAAAAAACGTTTACAAGGAATTTCTTCGGATCACATTTATGACATTCATTTCCTTTAACATGATCAATCATTATGCTGTCATGCATTCTTCATCTTCATGTGGAATTTAGTAAAAATTTATTCAGCAATAATTAAAAGTGAAACATTCTTGGAATGTTTTGTTTTGCAAGATGTCGAACTTTCAAGATAGTCAATCCCCCTCCCCTCCGCGTTCTTTTCTTTTTTTTTCTTTTTTTAATTTTCTTTTTATTTTCGATGTATGGAGTTATGTTTCTTGCTGCAATATTACATGACACGACTATGTTGGTGTGCTATTTTCTAAAGCTTCCTGACATACATGTATAGCAAAGTTCATAAAAAAAGAGGGCGCCTTTGGTTGGGATAGGCAGGAATCTGGGCGCACTTGAAAAGTGAAATTTTTATTGAACTGTCACATGAAATTTTAGCATTCTTTTGATGTATCAGGTTCCTATGAAATAGGAAAGGGAAATATTTTACCAATAGAGTATAAATATGCAGTGCTTCATTGTTATGTTAAAATCCATATATTCGTTGTGAAGCAGTGATACATGAGTAGTGTGTGTTTCCAATCCAGAACTCTCAGGAATCGAGTTTTTGATTCGATCCTCGAATTGTCAGCGTTAATTTCTTTTCTTTTCTTTTTTTTTCATTCCAGCATTTTTTTTTCGCTTGTCAGTTTAATTTTATATTACTGATTTATTAAAATTTTAAAATAGATATATATATATATATATATATATATATATATATATATATATATATATATATATATATATATATATATATATATATATATATATATATATATATATATATATATATATATATTTTTTTTTTTTTGTTTAGTTGCATAGAGAGCGAAAGCAATTCTTCTAACCTACTAAAACTTTCATATACATAAATCATTTTATCTTAAAGGTGCTTATTATTTATGTGATGTGATACCGTAACTATGAGTATACCGGTATTATATAAGCGGACTTTAACAATCTGACCAGGGATTTCACCAAAAAAAAAAAAAAAAATGTGCTTGAATTAAAAAATGTAGTCTGTCCAGCTGTGGTCAGCCGACTCAATCGTGGACATTCAAACTATAAATGTTTCGAACACTTGATTCATGCAGATCACACACCAAATACGCCCATCTTCTTTTGTGGATGCTTTTACTTTGATATCGTGTGGGGTTCTTTAATTGCTTTGAAAGTAATTTATGTTCCTATAAAACCATATTACGTTGTATGAGTCACGAGGTGGAAAAACCAAATTATAAAATATATCGAGAACAATAATCAATTATCGTTATTAACACCATTCCTCCACTCAAAGAAATGCTTCATTATAGCATAATATATCCCCCTATACTTAATTTATATTTTAGAAACCTATATTTTCTGAGTTCGAAAGGTACATGTACAAATACCCATAAGACATTGGACTTAACCCCTGATAAGTGTCATCCAAGCTAGTTTAAGGAGATGCTACCGTCTGCTTGCTAACATGGATATATGTTTCTGTAATTAAGTCATTTTTTAACAGATAGACTTTTTTAAAAAAAAAAATCAAGCAAATACAGTATATCACACAAGACAAAGGTTTGTGGAAATTATTGTTGAGTATGAAAATTGTCCACAGGAAGTGGTTTATTAAATGATAGACTTACATTTCCTTTTCAGAGCTGGGGCCATCCCGCCCTAAGCCCGCTCACATTTAATTGCATACCCAATGTTTGAGTTCAGCAGCTCTGAGCTATGTACCTTATGTAAAGGGTAGATGTAAACTTTTATACATACATATATATATATATATATATATATATATATATATATATATATATATATATATATATATATATATATATATATATATATATATATATATATATATATAAACATCTACATGTATTACTGCATTAATAAAACAAAATGAAGAAATACAAAATGAAGAAATATTGTATACTTCAGAGGCCCGTATCAACGGTTTTAAATCGGGGGTCTCCCCAAAATATAAGACAAGCCAAAAAAAAAAAAGAATCTCCAAATTCAAAAATCCTATATCTCGGGAGGGAGGAGAGGGGATCTATCACCTTACTCAACTTTTTTGGTACATTTCTTTTTTTTTTCCTTTCTTTATAGATCCTGAAATTTGCCAGTCTTCGATCTTACATCTACAAAAAGTGGAGTCGGGGGGGGGGGGGGTTGGCATCGAAATGAAAATTTACATATGAAACCACAGCAAAATACAGTTGTTCTATACTCCAAAAAGAGGGGGCCAACCCCCAATCACCCCCTACCCGCGTTCTACGGCCCTGTGGTTATTTACCCTAGATCGGTCAAATTTTGACCTTTCTGTTTTGTTATATTCTTCATGATGATGAAGATATACAGTGGCAGTCTAAAATAAATCCTGCAACGTGACGCATTGATTATTTTTGGACAATTCATGATATATTTCATAATACAAACGTCCAAATTGTCTTAATTAAATTTGCTATTATTGTAATGGATTTTTCTCATTTAGTTATTTATTTACATGTAGATTGAAATTTGTTTGCACTTGAATACGATAAATAACGATTACTTCTTGTATTATACAAATTTAATAGCTATCTTTCAATTTATTTCCAAGTTTTTTTTTTCCAGATTTCTTGGTTAGAAGGAATAGATTGACAAAAGTAATTCCTAAAAATTAGGAATGCAATCGAATACAGAATTGCCAGTCGGTTACCCGCAACACGTTCCGACCGATTAACCGGTTAATCGTATCAAAATGCACATTTTCTTGACATTTTTTCGCGAACCTCTATTCATATAAACACAAGAAGACTAAAAAGACTTTAGAAGGTAGAAACATTCTGTTTACCTTTATCTGGAAACTACACGTACATCTGTTTTATAGACAAGAAAACAATTTTAAAAAAAACCCATGAAACATGCCTGAGAAATCAGACATTGATAATTTTCCAGAGCAGATGTCACACAAGTCCATACTGCATTGTTTTTTTGTTTGTTTGTATGTTATTTAACGTCCCTCTCGAGAATTTTTCACTCATATGGAGACGCCACCACTTGCCGGTGGAGAGACTAGACTGAAGCTAGCAGCCAATAACAGCAGCCACTAAGCCCGTAGAAGCTAGCAGCCAATAAGGAAATTCATCAAAGGACTGAGAGTACTCTGACGCAATACTGTTTATAATTAATAATTAATAATTAGATAATTAACGCAACACTTAATTACTTAATAAGTCAAACACGCGGAGGCAGTTAAGCTCACCTGCATAAGAAAAATTATGCGGTTTCAAAACAAGAAAACAAACAAAAGAAAATGTCATCATCTTTGACCGCTTAAGAACAAACCGACGTTGGAAATAGGTTAAGTGCTATAGGAAGAATCCCTTTTAAGCCCTTTGACGGGTCTCAGGAGCATGACGGGGCCTATAAGTTTACCTGAAATTTGCATACTTCTGATATTGTAGATTGATAAAGGGTTTGAAGGTAATTCAATCTACTTTAAACTATTATTATTTAAATGTGCTTCGAAAAAATACTGGTACAAGGTAAGGCTATTATATATATGGCCATAAAAATAAGGCTGAAGTGGTACCACCAAGTGGTGCCAAGGGCAGGTAAAATATTTCAAGCAGCTTTTAAACCTCTTATCTTAGAAGTGTGCTTCAAATCATTACTAGGGCAAGGCAGAGGGCCCCTAGGACTATCATTTCCCGCTATCAGAATGAGGCTATAGTGGTACCACAAAAGGGTGCCAAGGGTGGGAGACGTATTTAAAGCATTAATTTTGAAACCCCCTTTGGCTACTGGAAGAAACTAACACTGGTGAGAGGTTAAGGACCTTAGGGAGAATCACTTATCAGCTTTATGAAGGATCCAAGGAAACAAAGGGGCCAGGTAGGTAACCTGAACTTTGTTGTTTTTCACATTGTCTATTGATATACTTGTTAAAGGTCAACTATTATACCCCTTATCTTTGAAGTGTGCTTCAAATCATTACTAGGGCAAGGTTGAGGGCCCCTAGGACTATCATATCCCGCTATCAGAATGGGGCTGTAGTGGTACCACCAAGTGGTGCAAAGGGTGGGGGACGTATTTCAATCATTTATTTTGGAACCACCTTTGGCTCCTAAAACAAACTAACACTTGTAAAAGTTTAAGGACTTAGGGAGAATCACTTGCCAGCTTTATGAAGGGTCCGGAGGAAAGAAAGGGGCCAGTTAGCTAACCTGAACTTTGTTGTTTTTCACTTTGTGTTTTAATAAACGGGTTAAAGGTCAGCTATTACATCCCTTGTCTTTAAAGTGTGCTTCAAATCATTACTTGGGCAAGGTAGAGGGCCCCGAGGACTATCATTTCCCGCTTTCAGAATTGGGCTGTAGAGATACCACCAAGTGGTGCCAAGGGTGGGGGGCGTATTTCAAGTATTCATTTTGAAACCATCTTTGGCTACAAGAACAAACTAACACTAGTGAAAGGTTAAAGACCAATGGGGGTGTAGTGGTACCACCAAGTGGTGCCAAGGG